ATTACTCAGCAGTTTCTTTCTTTCTGTGTCTTGTTACTCTTTTGGGCAAAACTGACCATGTCCATAAAACTTACTTTTAGGGGAAAAAAACTTATAAAAATGTCAAACAATAAAACCAGCTCTGTCAAAGCCCTTTGTACTTTAAAGATGAAACTTGAACAGTTAAAGTAACTGCAAATTTGCTAAACAAGTAAGTTGCCAAACTAGCTGGCTCTGCCTGGGCTTACTGGGTGATTACAGCTAATGTTTGAGAACTTTTCCACCATATCCATGCCTTCATTGAAAAAGAGGCTTCAGTGTTTTGGGGGGAGGGAGGGAGACCATTTGCATTTCATTTCTCACACACAGAAAAGTGCAGCATCCATTCGAACAGGTGACTTTGAACTTACTCTGAAATACCTAATCTCATCTCAGTTGCATGTAACTCCCATACCTGTTGATAAAAGTAACTGTTGTAAAGGGGACATGTTACAGCATATGTATTTTTTCAAACAGAACTTTGCATATTTTATACTTCCCCCAAAAGCCTTTACTACTGGGTTATACAGTGGGGTTGTCAAAACCACTGTTACTCGTTATGGTAAATAAGCTTTTTCATGATATGATGATGTTTTTTACTGGGTTATTGAACCGGCAAATGCACTTTGAATTGGGACACCTGTAAAGAGCAGGTTAGCCTCTTCTGAAAATGAATTACTAAACATAAGGCTTACAGCAGCCAACAATGTGCAATTATTTCAGTAGTTTTTAAATTACAAAGAGCATGTGCCAACATATTTTCAGAGCTATGCATGTATAATACATAGTCACGGGGTTTCATTCTGACCTAGTTGTCTCTTCTATTCTTTCAGATTAATAGGAAAAAATATTACCTTCCTCAGTAAGTCAGTCGTTTAACATGAATCCCAACACTGAATAAAGTCACTGTAGGTTGAATTGTTGTAATGCTCTGAAGATCTCTCAGGCCTTTGACAGCATTTTTCTTTGTGTACTCCCTGATTCTGTAGGGTAAGAAGTTTCTTTCCACCTCTTCCCTCACTTTGCTTTAACCAAGAAGTCAACTGAAGCTGCTTTTCTCCCCGCTCTGTCTCCTGATTTCTTAAAAGAAAAATATTGAGCATCATCCCCTTCTGCCTCCCCTTTTGTAAGAGTGTTTGTAGCATCTGGGCTGCACTTCTCTAGAATTGCTTTGTTATTGCACACTACTCTTACATGTTCACATGAAGTTCGCTGTCTTGGATTAAAATGCCACTGCAGATGATGCAGTTTGGCCTGGCAGCATCAGGTCATGCCATAGGGGACGCTTCTGAGAAAGCACACTACTTAGAGGTGGAGTTCAAAGAGCTGAACCCCAAAAGGATGCGTGCATCGAATTTCCTACTGTGAGGAAGATTTATTTTAAGGCATGTTAATTCAAACCTGCTTGAGTACAAACACTGGCATATGCAGTAATGAAGCTGAGTGCAATTTATCTAATGATCTACACATTATGGGAGCATGTTATAAAAGCAAACCTCCTGCCTACCTGGGAGTAGGTGTGCAGCCACCGAAGAAATTCAGGCAAACATTTGAGTGGTTTGTTCTTAATGACAAGAAGATATTAATTCTGTATTATTTTGTATTATATCTTTTTATGTACCATATTATGTCTTTTTATATGCCAGATAATTTGTCCTGTTGGTTTCTGAGGAAATTCTACTTACCTGGTCATGTTCTGAGCGTTTCTTACGCTGCCCCGATCTCTCTGTCACAGCCTTCAAACCTTACAACTAATGTTTCTAAATTGCAAACTCTGGCAGCTTCTTGGAAGAGGGTAGCAGCATCCGAGGGCAAAAATGGCAATATAAGCCATAACATCATGTAAAACAAAGCAAAACCAGGGGGAAAAAAACCGCAAACACACAAACCCAAATCAAAACCCTAAATATTTATGAAGATGTGTATAACTTTCTACTGCAGAAAAACCCCTTGAGTGTACATTCCGAGTTCATGGAAGTACTTGTTGCATTACAGTGAATTATAAAGCAGATATAGCTACTTTATAATGATTTCTCAGACTATAGTTTGCTCAGAAAATTATTTATGAAATAGTTTGAAAGCAATTGTTGAGCTCATTTCTGCTGGCAAGAGTTCTGAAAGCCTCACACAGTTAAAATGCTTATTGGTGTTCACACATGAGGGCCCTTCACATCCAATTGCTGACAGAATTGCTTGTCTTAAGTCATTTTCACTGAATCCTAAATGTGTTTTCTATTGTAATAAAACCAAATGGCAATATTTTAATAATGCTTAAAGAGTGTATGTTGTTTTATGATTAAGTTTCTAAGCAGCCCTAGGCTGATTTTGAGTTGAAATCCTACGCAATGCTACTATTAAAGATAGCTCTTAATACAGTAGTTTCTTACCAAAGAGATTTAATTTGTATATTTGTTATATATAAACAAAAGAGGAGCTAAATGCTAAAAATTAAGCTTAAATATAGAAATCAGATGGATGTGTGTGACTTGAGGGGTTTATTGTGTTTTGCAATCTCTTTGTGCTTCTAAGTGCAGTTCATTAATCATCATGGGTTCATATTTGACTAATGAAGGTATTTTAGCCTTGTTTCCTAAGAAAATGAGGTGTATACAATTCCACCTGCTGATCCTGTTCGGCTCGTCCCATTTTCCTGTGTGTTGCACTACAGACTTTGATAATTGCTGATCCGTTCCAGGAAAAAATTGAGGGAGATGGGGTGTCAAAGTTAGTTAAATTTCTGAGTTATAAAAATCTGGACAGAATATATACATGGTAGGGAAAAGGCTTAGATTAGTGCCCAGCTGAGAGAGAAGCTGCAGTGTGAGTTCAGGAGCTCTTCCTTGTTGGGTGCCTGGCACGGAACCAGGGATTCTGTTTGCTCAGTCTTTTTCAGCTGACAGTCGAGGAGAGCAGAAGACCCGTTGGAGTCGAGGTGTTTGAAACCATGAGAAGAGAAATAGGGCTGTCAAAGTGCAGGGCACGGACAGATTGTTGCTTCCTGCTTCTTTTCTTGGAATTTTTTTTTTCCTGGTTAACTAACAGAGCTTGCTTTAAGTGAGGAGCTGCTGGATATTAGCAAGTGTGTAATAAAGTAAGACTCCAAAGTGTGATTGCTGAAAAATAGTTAGGAATGTTATGGCAGCTCAGAGAACCCAACAATCAAGGCCAGGTTGGATGGGCCTTGAGCAACCTGGTCTAGGGGAAGGTGTCCCTGCCCATGGTAGGGGGTTTGAAGTGAATGAGCTTTAAGGTCCCTTCCAACCCAAACAATTCTATGATTCTATGTGTAATATAGTGTCTTTTCTTCTAGAAGCATTGGGAGGCAACAGGTTCTTTAAGTTGTACTAAGCTAGTTAGTGAAAACCATGTCTCACTCCTTAACTTGTATGTACACACGTGCTAACTCAGCAAATGTTACAGGACAGTCACTGCAGATGTGATTAAGCTGCTAGGACTTTTTCTGCATATTCTCAAAATATTCATAAAATTATTTTAATGAGTGTATTTTGCAGGCTTAGAAATGAAAGTAAGCTTTAGCATGTGCTCCTGAATAGATGTTGTATGCTGTTTATGCCTACTGTATGACTTCAGTTGGAAATTGTCACCTTCAGTAACTGCATTTGTATTCTGGGCAGTGTTATTTCTTCGGGTGGAAAATAGATGCTGGTCTGTTAATGCAAACTCCTTGAGGCTATCCTGCATGTCTGTCATGGTGCTGTTCAGCTGCTTTCTTAAAGCATAAAGGACACCTAGTGAGTTCAGTAGAAGGATCAGAATAAGAATCTTCCTTTAAATCTTTGACATTTAGACTACTTCTGAAATACTGTGTGCCCAGTAGCCAGTCCCTTGGCCAGGGCAGCTGAGCCCACACCAGAGGGGAGCCTAGAGAGAGAGGCCAGACATAGAGGTTGATGGGTGGGTTCGTGGTAGGTTATGACCACAGAACACAATGAGGAGAGAGCACGGCACAACGGGATGCAGTTAGTAGTCTGGAAGTTGTATCCAGCGGGTAATTTGGAGTCTTCAAGAACCCATTCATTTTCCACTGGATAATCTGCTGCAGAGGTTTATATTTTGTTTAGCTGGTAAGGGATATTGAGCTGAAAATGTGTTTTAAAAATGAATTAGAGACAAGGATGGCTGGATGTTTCCAAAGTGATGTCTTTTTAAAATAGTAGCATGCTGTTTCACTGCTGTCAATTTCAAAGCTGTATGATGCATATTGTCCACTTTTCCCTCCTGCTTCCCAAAACCAAATGCTGAATTGAATAAAGTTCAAAGAGTAGTAGGAATATTTGCATTCTTTGATGCTAGGAGCCCAGGCTAGTATCAGGTAGCACCTACTACCGCACCAGTTTGAGGACTGGGGTGTGGTGAGAGGTCAGGTTGGGCTCAGATGAAGGGTGTCTTTACCCTCTTTCAGAAGTGGTGTATTTCCTCTTTTAGTTAAGTGCTTTGTAGAATTGCAGCCCTTCTCTGTTGACTTGATCTGAGTCAATTCTGAGAGATACAGAAATGGGTTTATCTAAATTTTTGAAATGCACTTTTTAATTGAATCATTCATTTTCAGTCTTTTTCCTATGCTTGTGGGTTGGTTGGTTGGATTTTTATGTATAACCAAGTAATACTTGACATGGGCAGCTAAACTTACCCAGGACTTAAGGCATTGAAATAGCCTGATACTTTGAGACATAAGAGGTACAGCAAACTTTGCAATGAGAATGTCATTCCCTCTCAGTTGCTTGGCAAGTGGAAGGGACAAAATCAAAAGACCTCTTTTGCATATTTACAGATCGTGTAATAGTAGAGACTAAGCCCTTTGTAAACTATTTTCTGGACTGTGGGGAAATGCAAACGAACTAGAAAGAAAACAAGCATGGTGGGTTTGTTTGCAGTGTAATGTATCTACGTGCCAAAAACCAGATGATTTAATTTTTGAGTTTCTGAGGATTCAAATGTTTACGTTGTGTCTTCATCCAGATTCAAGATCCAGCCCGTATTATGGCTGGCAGTGGGTCCAGATCAGGACCATCCAGTGGGTTTTCCATGAAATCACAGCTTCAGATCACTGGTAAGCCTTATGAAAGGAAATCTCTCTTCTGGTTAGAAACATAAGTGTTTTCTTTCTCACAATAAAATACAAGTCACTAGTATGTTGCATTTCAGGGACTTTGGAGTTGCAAAAAACCCAAGAGAAGTTGCACAGTAAAATTGAAGGTGTCTTGCCATCATTACTTGACAGCTATTTTATTCAGGATTTTATCTAAAATGCATTTTGAAGTGGTAATTTTTTAGGTAAAAAGAAAAAAGGAAGGAGAAATTGGTTTTGAATGCTGTTAAGTAAATTGTACAGAACAGTCCTCTGAAATGTAATCCTGTATTATGATACTGCTTTCAGTTAACACTCGACATAATACCAAATCCAGCACTTACTCCTAACAATCTTTTTACATCTCAAGCTAAGTGAATCTAAACTGCTGTTCATTTAATTTGACTTATCTCTTCTCCCTTGTTACATGCTCTTGTGGCCACTGTTGTAAAGGAGCTTTAATAAACATATTGGTGAGAATGCTATTGTAGTTGATCGCCTGTAGATTGCATAGAAATGGGTTTGCCTGGCATGCTTTGCTTTTTCAGTGCCCCACCAACAGAGTAGCTGTTGAAACTTTATTCCCGGTATTTACTCACTCTAACAAACTTTACTGAAGCATAAAAGCCGAAGCCTGGGCATAGAAGAGCATTTAAGCAGGTTTGGGTTTAGAAGCATCAAGGGTAAATTTTGAGTGCTCAGTGTGGAAGATCTGTGAGTATATGCAAACGTTTCACAAAGTTGATATTATGGGGATGAAAAGAGTTGTCAAAAATAGATGGGAAAGCTATAGCTAGAAAGGTTGGAATTGAGTAAGTTGTACTGGCTCTAAGCTGTCATCTTGAGGTCACCAGCATGTTTTTTCTCAGTGGGCCATGAGTCTTTAAGAGAAATCTTGTTCCTACAGGTTGATACTGGAGAGAAAAAAAAAGAAAATGAAGGGGTATGGAAGGGGGTATGTCCTTTACATAGCTATGGAGAGCAGAGCTAGTGATTGAAGTGGTGATTGCTATCTAAGGTGTGCTCTGTTAAAGACCTGTGACTCACATGAAGAAAGAAAAGTGGAAGAAATGGCTTTGTTTAGAAATGAGACTATTAAGATATTTGCATGGTTCTCCATTTGTGTTCAGCCACAGTCTGCAAGCAAACTATTTCCTGTGCAAGCAGGAGTTACTTTATCTGTAAACAGCACCTGCCCTACCCTCACCTCCCTGTTGCACTGTCTTCACCAGATTTAAATCAACTTTCAGGTTGTCTGCTTAAGAATGAACCTTGAAAGTAGGTACAAGACTGCTGATTTGTGCTGCCTCAAAGTAGGTCTTGATGCCTTTGAGAGAGCAACGTTAAGGCATGGGATGCTGTAGTATATAAGTGCTGGAGACATGAGGGGAAGGCAAGGGGAGCTATTCATGAGAATTAATGTTAGCTAACTGGAGTTAATTTCTATAAGATATCTGTAATAGAGAAAGAGTTTCCCTTGAGAGCAGTTCAGAGCAGTTTATACTAAGCTACTTGTCTAAATCTCTAAAGGAGCAGAGTCTATAAAGGGAATCTAGGTAGATTAGCCATATGGGCTTGAATTAGTCATCCTTTTTTTAAGGATGTAGTGCAGCTGAGGTGGGTGACAAAAGCCCAGGAGACCAAGTTGTTAGTTATTAGAACAGAGTGGAGTTCACTGCCCCATTGGAAACGTCTGTAGTACTGAAATTTATCTGAAGTACTGGTTTGTGAGTTTAGTGTTGTCAAGGAACCCAAGAACACTCCTGATCCAAGAGTCAAAGTTCAGGGGTAGGCTGGCACATATGCATGCTTCTTTGGCTACATGGAGGCAGCATAGCCATGGTTATTTGGAAAGACAGGAGTGTTGCAGTCAGTGCTGTTCAGTGTTTAAAAACCAAACAAACCAAAAACCAAACCACCAAAAAAACCCAACCAACCAAACAAAAGACCAAGACAAATGTGTCTATGTTCATCCCTGTCCTGTGTGTTGTCCTGTGTGTCCTGTCCATGCCCCTCCTCAAACCTCTAGAGCTGCAAGTCAAAACCAGACTGGTTTGTGTTGGAAGGACCTTAAAGCTCCTCCAGTTCCAACCTGCTGCCACAGGCAGGGACACCTTCCACTAGAGCAGGTTGCTCCAAGCCCCTGTGTCCAACCTGGCCTTGAACACTGCCAGGGATGGGGCAGCCACAGCTTCTCTGGGCACCCTGTGCCAGCGCCTCAGCACCCTCACAGGGAAGAACTTCTGCCCAAGAGCTCATCTCAGTCTCCCCTCTGGCAGGTTAAAGCCATTCCCCCTTGACCTGTCCCTACAGGCCCTTGTAAAAAGTCCCTCTCCAGATTTCTTTTAGTACCCCTTCTAGATCAGTAGGTAGTTATTGGTACTCAGAATTTGCCTTTAGCTTTTCTGTAAGTTTACATTGATACAGAACACCTAACACAAGTTATTTTTGTTAGTTATTTTCATTTCACCGGAAGTGGGGGCAGTTTTCCATGATTCCTTAGTGAGGAAGACTGAACATGTTTTGAGCTTTTTAACAAGCATGTGTAATAAACTCCTGGAATTCTTTTGGCTGGTGATAGAATGAAGTTGTAGAGGATATTTTCTACTTTCAACACCTAAGCCCTTTTGTGGCTCTTCTACTGATTATTATTAATTATAGTGTCTGATCTTACAGAAGTGCTGTTGCATGTCTTAGGCATATGTGTGAGCTACAGCATATATAGACCTGGAATGCAAGAGCTTTTTTGTCCGTCTAACATATTTTGGTTTTTCTTGAGTGTTATTGTCAGGCATCAGTGACTTGATACTTGAATACTGAAGCACACAACTGAAAAATATTATTTGCAATTGAAATCTTATTGAGTAAATCACTATTTTTTTTCTCTTTCTTAACAGTTATTTCGGCAAAACTCAAAGAAAAAAACAAGTGGTTTGGACCCAGCCCTTATGTGGAAGTCTCAGTAGATGGACAGTCAAAGAAGACAGAAAAATGCAACAATACAAACAGTCCAAAGTGGAAACAGCATCTTACAGTGTAAGTTCGATGGTTTTGTTTTCTAGTTTGTTAGAGCAAAGTTAATGCAAATGACAGTGGACTTCAGGTTTGTGTTTCTAAGCCAGGCATTCAGTGTTATGTGATGTGAAGATATTTGTGTTGACTTCTGGAGCAAATATCATAGAATCATACATCACAGAATCCCAGCCTGGTTTGGGTTGGAAGGGACCTTAAAGCTCATCCAGTTCCAACCCCTGCCACGGGCAGGGACACCTTCCACTAGAGCAGGGTGCTCCAAGCCCCTGTGTCCAACCTGCAACTGATACTGATATCAGTTTGTTTCTCTGTTGTAAGGCTTCTCAAAACTCAAGGGAGCACAAGGGGCAGGTGAATACTTGAACTCTGAGAGCAACTTTCTAGGGAAAAAGTTTTGTGAGTCCATTTTGTAGTATGAGCTCTCTCGTGATGCTTTTTGTTCTGCTGTTGCCAGAATACTTTTAAGAAGAACAAGGAAAAATCTAGGCATTTTGGTTTCTCTTATCACTAGGAGAGCTACATTATTCTCCAGGATGTGCCTTATTCACACACACTTTCTCACCTGCCATCATCTTGCTGCAAAAAGTTTCGCGAGATTTAGCAGTTTTGAAATGAGCATGGTTTGATTTGGCTTGTTTTGGAGCTGGAGGGAGGAGGGTGGCAGCAAATCTTTCTGTTTGCATGTGTTTCTTCTCCAGCGGGGGATCTCCCAGAACATTTCTTCTGGCATAGGTCTGGAGTGGAGGGTCTGACCACATAGGTAATCCTTGATCAAGAGCTTCCACGTTTAGGGAGTGACACTGCTGGTGGCTTTTCTAGGAGCAGAGGTCACAAATTCAGACTGTCTGTGTGTTTGGCAGAGGCTGCAGTATTGTGGTTTTATGACCTTATCAGCCCACAAGATTTTTCTGAGGGAACTAAGGCTCTTGTTTGGTCTATGTGGAGAGTGACATTGCCACTGGATGTACTGTGTCTGCTCTTTGGAAGGTATCTTTCCAGTTTGTAGCACCATGTGTTGAATGAAGTTTCAGATTGTTGTATCGGTAGAACAAGTAAAATGGAAGAAAAGCCTCAGGGAAGTGGGATAGAAATAAATGGTTGGATTCTTTTTCATATTATTTTATCTGGAATAAAGAGAAACTTGCGATAGTTTGGTTCATAAGGGTCTTTTTTTTGATCGTAAACCTGGAACCAATTCTCCAAGGACATAATTAAATGAGCACACTGTAGAAGTAATGTGTCCTGCTCCTGGAGATGGTGAGGGGAGTTTATGAATTGTGAAGTCTTTTGTCTCAGTAAATGCACTGAGAAGCCAGAAGTACACTAGTAAAATGCTGAATACCTTTGTATACATTCTTACTTCTTTGTCAGAATATGATGTAAGTATGTGCCAGCTTATTAGGGGAGCAGTCATTCTAAAAATATTTTTTGGGATTTCTGAGTACTTCACGTTTTATGGGATGTCCTAATGTGGGGCTTTGGACAAGGGCCTGTAGGGCCTGTAGGTCAAGGGGGAATGGCTTTAACCTGCCAGAGGGGAGACTTGAGATGAGCTCTTGGGCAGAAGCTCTTCCCTGTGAGGGTGCTGAGGCGCTGGCACAGGGTGCCCAGAGAAGCTGTGGCTGCCCCATCCCTGGCAGTGTTCAAGGCCAGGTTGGACACAGGGGCTTGGAGCAACCTGCTCTAGTGGAAGGTGTCCCTGCCCGTGGCAGGGGTTGGAACTGGATGAGCTTTAAGGTCCCTTCCAACACAAACCACGCTGGGATTCTATGATTCTGTTCTCTCATAACCTCTACAGAAAGCAAATGTGGTGCTTTCCCACTGTGTGAGAAATTCTCACATCAGGGTACACAAATGCTAAACACTCATGAAATGTGAACCTGCAAGAATGAGTCTGTTTTTTCTAGTCCTGGTTACACTCAGATGCTAATTGTGAGGTGATAGTTTTTCTGTAGGTATTTCCTTTGAAATAATAAGAATAAACCACATAGTCTATAAACAGCCTTGCAACAGTCTTGTCATTAAGTGACACGTAAACGTCCTGCATTTGAGGATGTGATAGGAATGGTGTGATGTTAATCACTGTTGTTTCTTTGATTTTAAATGATTTTAAATGGCACTAGATCGATCAGTTCTTCCACTTCCCCTGCCAACAAATGGCCTTACTCAGTGCTCAACTTTTTCTTTTCAGAATTGTCACTCCTGTAAGTAAATTAAATTTTCGAGTCTGGAGCCATCAAACATTAAAATCTGATGTCCTTCTGGGAAGTGCTGCTCTGGATATCCAAGAGACTTTGAAATCAAACAGTATGAAACGTAAGTCTGCATGCAGCTCTGTAGATGGCCTTTACAGCTTCCTTTTGTGGCTACAGGCTGTATTTATGAGCTTCCTTCTGCTTTTTCAGTGTCCTCTTATTTCATTATAGACAGTCTGCTATGGTGCCATTGAAAACCTGGTATTTTTCACTTTACTGGTCTGTGCAAGAGGGAAAGCCTAATTAAAGTGTTTCCTTTTATATAGCTTAAAAATAAAACTGAGATCTTGATGCTAGGAAATGTGTAAAGTTGTTTTTGTTCTAAATAGTTTTTCATGCATCGTGGAAGTAGTTAGCTTTTAGGCACTGTGTACATCCTAGGAAGCTTGAAAGAAATGTGGAATTCTGCACACCTGGTCAGAATTTGTGTTGCTGCAGCATAAAGCTTTGTGCTGTCACACTTATGTTCTGTCCTTTCAAAGAAGTGTTTGCTTCTGAAGTTCCAGATGTGGGCACTGTAAGTGCAGCCTGTTGACAGCAGTGTAATAAGGTGTTGTCCTGCCAGAGTGTTACTGCCCTGCTGAATCTGGGTAAATATTACCCAAGGGGACCTGTGTTGTGCTGTATGACACCACATACCCTGCTGTAGTCACTGCATTGTGTTTCAGACCATTTCATCAAGGACTGAAAAGCAGTTATTGACCCTGAAAATACCTTTGGTCTGGGGATATGATGCAAAATCTTCACATTCTAAAAAATGTGGATCTTGATGTCATTAGATAAATGTGAAATAGAATCTGAAGATAGAATTGATATCTGCTCCATGTAAGGATAAGGATAAGCTTATGCTTCAGTTTTCTCCTTTTTATAGAAATAATAACATTTTTCCTGACATCTGGAAATGATTAATTTTACCACAAAAACCAGAAAACATTATGGAGAAAGAGAGAGCTGTAGTGCTGGGGTTTGTTTTGGTCTTTTTTTCCCCTTAATGACTGTGTTCTATGATTGGATTCTTAAATAAAATGCACTTTTTTTGTCAAGCAGTAAGATAAACTCCTGTTCTTCTCTGTACCTTTTCAGTTGAGCAGGTAGTGGTGACATTGCATCTTGTTGGTGACAGAGAACCAGCAGAAGTAGTAGGAGATCTGTCTGTCTGTCTAGATGGGATGCAGGTAGATCCAGAGCTCCTAACCAATGGTGATGCCTCAAGTACAAGAAGTAAGTAACTTTCAATTCAAATGTGTCTTCTATGTATATCTGGTATACAGAGCTTTTTCTTTTTTTTCCTGAAGGCTTTAACACAGTGTTTTAATAATCATAACAGCAGCAGTTTCTATAACTTCCTGTTTGTAGAGACCAGAACTCTTGTGCATTCTTATTTGAGGTGGATTCATAATCCATAGTGAACATTTTCAGCCTTACTCTAATGGAAAGAAGATCAATATCTTTATTTTTGGGGGCTTTGTTAACATATGTAGCAATCACAAACTGTAACGGAACCCTGAATGTTTAATAACCTCAGGGGAATAAACAGAAAAGAATATAAAGGAAGTTAGTTTAATCTCATCATCATCAGTATTTTGCTCACTAGGAGACTGGGGTTTATATTTGTTTTTCTTAAAACATCTCATTTAAATAAATGTTTTCATAGACTTTGTTCCCTGTGGAGTGCTGCAGAGAGGGATCCACTATTCTGTTTAGTTGATGCCTTCAGTTTCAGATAACTAGTGTGAGTTTTAACTGAAAATCTTGAATATATGTAAAAATGTGTAATTGCATTAAAATAAAAAGTAACAGGGTTTAATTTTATTGGTGCAAGACAGGAAATGGAGCATTTCTGAGGGTATTGTACATTGCAGAGAAGAAACATGTAAGAGGTTATTTCTACAGAAGGCAGCATTAAAAATGTGTCCTGCAGCAACTGACTAGGCAGCTATTTGGCAATTTCTGGGCTTCCAGGATGTTTTTTAGAGCACTAGAAGACATTGCTTTGAGATGCCATCTAAGTATCGTAGCTTTGTAACCATGATTTCTTAAAGCTTTCTTTGCATCTTGTTAAAAGTATCAATCATACAATCGGATTTGTAAGTCAAAGCCAATGCTGGGTTATGTGGGGCTTGTAGAGCAGGGCTGAGGTGTGTTGATGTGATGTTGCACCAAAGTAACAGATACTCCTCTTCTGCAATACCTGCTTTTCATCTGTGCTTTTTTTCCATTTCCTGAAATTCACCTATTGAGAAAAAGGTGCTAGCAAGTCAAAACCAGCACACAGGCAATGGAATTGAGTACTGTCACAGTTCTGGCATTGACAATGAAGACAGACATTGACATACCAAGCCAAGTTCAACAGAGGGTTCCCAGATAATCAGGGCACTGGAACACATGGGGCAAGAGTTAAATCTTAAAGTAGTCTTAACACTTTCTGATTGTACAGGCTAAAGGTACTTGCAGGCAAATACATTGTTTAAAATCCCTTCCGTGCCCAGCCTTGCTCACAGCATGTTATCTTTGCTCTTTATGTGTTTTTGCCTTAGATCTGTGCATAGCTCCTATCAGAATTGATAAGCGACATCTTTGTTAACAACATTTGTTTAATTCTATGGAAATAAAGTATTTGTGCTGTCTACATGAATGAGCAGTTCTGTGCTACATATTCAAACATTGCAAATGCTGGCACAAAAGGCAAATATTTCCAAGCTGGCTGATTAAGCAGTTGCAAAATGTTCACAAATCTAGGCTGAGCTGCTATAATTCTGTTTGGAGTGCAGCCAGATTTTGTACCTGCTTGAATGATTTTATGCTAAATGCTTTGCAGAGAAAGGGAAGGGTACAGACTAGAGAGCCCCAGAAAACAAAGCCTCTGTGGTTGCTTGCTAGTGGCAAGCAGAGAGAAGGTTGTAGAGAAGCTGTTGCCTTTCCTGCTCTGCCTGTCATCAAGAGAATATGAAAAGCCAGCTCCACTTGAAGAATTGTGAATACTGCTTGATACTGCTACAAAAGCAGGAGTCAGTTACTGAACTCTGCATGTGTATGGCAGTTTTTGTAACGTCAAATGATAACCTGTTATTCTTGCCAGAAGGTAAAAATATTACAGTGGCAGTGGTTAAAGAAATGTATACACAGACAGATATATAGTGACATGCAAAATGTGTACAGTTTTAAGTAAAAGTAAATAGACAGCACATAGTGTATCATCTCCATATTTGAAACAAATGTGAGCATTATAAACTTGGTTCTTTTCTTGGAAGTGATTCAGAATGTTGTTTATACTTCTGGTGTCTTTTGTTTCTGGTATTTAAGGTCCTACACAGAATGATAGCTCCAAAGCAAGGAATGATACACGGTAAGGTGCTTTTCCTCCTCTTTTTAATACTACCTTTTAGTGTTTGCAGATTTGAATGAAGTTTGCAGTTCTATAATGAAGAATAAAAAAAATCAGAGCATGCCCTGCAACAATGCCTATTAAAATCTGAGCATGTCCTAAACAAAAATACTGTACCATTGTGCATTCACATTTTAAATTGTTTTTCCTCTAAGCCCCATTTCTGAGCTTCAGTTTACTTCCATACCTGACTGATCTTTTGGGTTTTTTTCCCCTTTGTGTTCCTCATCCTTCTCCCAATGATTATCCAAAGTATAGAAATAATAAAAAAAATTCCCACTGGTGAGTAAAAGGCACTGGTTATTTTCGCAGTGTTTTGCTTTATAGCATGGAGCTATCAGAATTATATTTAGCTTTAAGAAGATCCCCAAAGCTCTTAGCAGTCTCAATGTTTTAAGGTTGATATCGGATTATGTACCCTGCTGTTTGGTAGGATAAAAGTGTGACCATACTTGATGGTGGATTAACCTGCAGTGAGCACCATGCCACTTCAATTAGTTCCCAGCACTACAAATGTTTTAAGGATCTGTACAATGCACAACACTCTTGGGTGACATCTGGAGTGCTAAGTTAAATTCAGTCTCTTTTTAATAGGTCATAACTCTTAGTTACATTGGCTGAAGTGTTCCCTTGAAAGCTTATTTTTGTTCTGTTTCCTTTTCATGCTCACAAGAATGTTTCTGTGCTTGGGTATTCAGAATGCCTGAGTACATAAGAGTATAATAGTAATAATAGCTGATTTGGGTTTAGTACCAACCAGTGGGGGGGTTCGGTGTCATTAAAGGTCCATTTTGAGGATCATGTAAATGTACTGTAGTGAAAGGAGAAGGGGTAATGAGTTTAAACTAAAACGGGAAGTTCAAGTTAGATATAAGGAAGAAGTTCCTTACTGTGAGAGTGCTGAGGCACTGACACAGGCTGTCCAGAGAAGTGGTGAATGCTCCATCCCTGGCAGTGTTCAAGGCCAGGCTGGACAGAGACTTGGGTGACATGGTCTAATGTGAGGCGCCCCGGCCCATGGCAGGGTTTTGGAACTAGATGATCTTAAGGTCCTTTCCAACCCAAACCATTCTATGTTTCTGTGATCTGGATTATGCCTAGCAGTGGCTATTGTTACGTGTAGAATAATATTTTGATATGCATTGATATGCCCTAAGCCAACTGGTCAAACACACTAGAGATAAAAGGTTATACTTTTGACATCAGTGTTCAAAGAGCAGCAATATGCTTTCCAGCAACTCATGATTTGTTTATGCTTTCATAGTCATTTCCTCTGGGGTTGGTGTAGTATGGTATGAATTATGTGAACCACACCTGGTATATAGAAAAAGTTTGTTTGACAATGATAATGAGGTCAGATGTACTTAATGTACATGATTCTACTTATCTTCTATGACTTGGGATTTACTTAGGCTTACCTGCTGGGGTTGATTTTGTGTACAGTTAAAGGAATGTAATTTTAGAGGTACTCAGCTGAAACCGTAACCCATGGTTTTATTCCTGATGGTCTATGTACTTGACCTGTCAATCCACTAGGATTTTAGTTGATAATCTTTTTATTTTGCTCAACGTACTCTGAAAATAAAATGCTTTTAAAGTAAAGGTGTAGATACCTGTAGCTCTGCTTAAGGAGCAACATCAGAATAATACACTGCTAGGGAAAACTGAATAGTACAGAATAGGTGAATACTTCTAGTTCATAATTATTAAGTTTCTTAATTCTTGTAAAATTGAGAAGCGTATATTCATAGCTGTTGGTCAAAACTTTAATGCTTAGTCCTAAATTCTCCAGCCCTTTCCAGAATTCAGCTTAGGGGAAAAATTGTGTATATGTAATTAAGTTTTCTAAAGGAGCGTTCTGTGTGCTCTGAGCATCTGCTAGCCCTGTGGAGCAACACACACAGGCTGTTCTCAGGTCATGCTCAGCTTCCCATCTCATTAGAGACAGGTGGAATTCATGGGTGGAAATAGCTGAGCAGCAGCATCCAGAGCCTGGGCCTAAAGACAGGTGTATTGAGTTGGGAAATAGGAGTTTTCAGTGACAGATGTTACATACATCTATTTCACAACCTCTTTATCAGTTGAGGTTTCATATACCTCAGGAGATAAACTTAGTATGCTTATACGGATGTATAGGTTTCTATGATTATTATGAATGTAAGAGTCTAACCTAATCATCACTGTTACATTCTAGTGTCTTTCATAAAGTTTAATGTCATCCATACGCTTATAACAGTTCTCCTTTCTGTCTTTTCGGCAAAAGGACAAACTCAAATGGCCTTGAAAGCTGTGAAGATGCTTCTCCCAGTGAAAACAAGACTGTTAATGGCAGTGATTCTCCAGTACTCACAAATGGAAGCTGCAAACCTTCTAGACCTCCCAGGCCTGCCAGACCACCGCCACCCACTCCCCGCAGACCCGCTTCACTAGCTGGTACGTGTGTTAGGGCCAGGCAGTCATTTCAAAGCTGCACACTCTTTGGATGAACATAGCAGTTTGATGCTGACTTTTAACTACATTTTCATGGTAAATTCTTTGACAGATAACTTCAGAAGGACTATTTTTTAGTTTGCATTCAGTATGTGTTGTTTAATCAATGCTTCTATTAGAAATTTCTTGCTTCCATGTCCGCTAAGTAACGATCGTGGTGATGCTGCTGTATGTAATGGAGCTGAGACCAAAAGAGCACAAGTGAATGCTATTACTGCTCTAAGATATCCATTGAGTTTGAGATGAAATCTACCGAAGGGCTCACAGAATTGTGTCCAGTTGATAACATTGGGATTTGAAATGCTAGTTATTGGTTTCTACAACTTTAGCTAAATTCTGTGAAATAGCAGCACTTAAAACATTCATTACTCCCTTGCACTCAAATAGATAGATTCTTTTTGATAAATGCTGAGTCTGGATGGGAAACTGCGATACAGTAATGACTTTAAAAGATGAACCCAGTGTAGGTCAGTAATAAGGCCTGACTTGTACACGACCTTTAATCCCACCCACCAAAAGGCTTTCAGAAAAAAATGGAAATATTTAAAGAATATTTTTCCCCTCCCATTCTGGTGATTTCTTTGTATGTGATATCAAATCTGTTCTTGAAAATTTTATGCTTATGATCACTTAAATTGTTATTCAAAATTAAGAAGTGGAAAATAATGAGCTCATCAATGCAAGAAACTAGGTTTTTGTTTATAGTCATTTAGTGTTTACAGGATGCAGACAGCTTAATTTGGTAAATATGATCTATTCTATCAGAAATATCAAAATTGTGCCCTTGATGGCAGTTCTTGGATTAAAGCATCCTTACAAAGTGAGAAAAAATTGCTTGTGAATTAGTGTTTAAGGTGTGCAATGTGGCTGTGTGTGTGTGCTTTGAAATACCAGTTCTTGCATGTTTACTTTTGTGATTTACAACTTCTAAAATAGATTGGTGATAAATACCAGCTAAAGGTGCTTTATCTTCTGTCTTTGATATCTTTGACATCGTAGCAAGTGCAAATGGTCCTTCAACCACATCCACAGAGAGTGATGGGGCCAGTGCAGGATCACTGGCAGGTCCAGCTGCAAATACGTCTTCCGAGCAGAGCCCTGAGGGGGCAACAGCAGCAACAACAACAGCTCCTGCAACTGCTGCACTCGCCACACCTCCAGTATCAAGACAAATCCAGCCAGTAAATCCTTCACCTCAGGCACTTACTACAGTCAGTCAAGGTCCTCTTCCACCTGGGTATGACTTTAATGATTTTATTATTATTATTTTTGTGCTGCTGTTTCTGGTTTACTTTATTTTAGTTACAGCAAGTGTAACAAAATATTTATAACATCTGCCTTTTGCTGCATAACAGAAATTCTTTTCCCAATACTAATTTGGAGGTTTTCATAACTGTTTTGTCTGGTAGGCCTTCAGGTGTGGTTTAGCCAAGAAAAGAATTAATCTTTTGGATATCTTTGATACTTGTCGTATGTTCCCATGTCAATGAAACACAGAAGTTTTAGTGTGACAGCTTACTGTCTTCAAGTTAGAATGAAGTCAGGTAGTAAAATATTGGTTAAATATGTAGACGAAAAGCTACTATTGCAGTGATAGTCTGCAATATATCCTGAAGTTTTGGACTTCATACGGCAGCTCCTGGGAGTAGTATGGGCATACTGTTTGTTTTTCAGGCTCATGTGGAATTTGCTAGATGGTTGGTCTGTTGCTGCAAAGCTCTTGTTTAGATTCTAAACTTTAAAAAACCCAAAGTTTCTGGACTCTGAGAGATGGAAAGCAAAAGCTTCCCAATGTGAATGTTGTAATTGGTGAAATAGCCGCCGTAATTTGTAGGCAGTTGAACCACAAAGTAGGAAAGGTCTGCATTACCTCTCTGCCTCACAGGGCAACTGTGAAATATAAAAGCAGTCTTGAAAACACAGATTGTTGCTTTACTATTTGGTTTCAACAGAAATGGCAGATAAGCATGCTTTTGTTCCTGTGGTGTTACCTCTGATGCAAATACAGGGCTAAGGCCGTGTATCTCAAATGCTGCATATGCAGAAAATGTGACCAATGTCCTTATGATGAACTCTGCAGAGTTGCATATTTTGAGGATTTAAATTGAATTAATGTTACTCTGAAAGAGTATTATGCTCTACAGATCATGATGTTCAACAGTTATTGATATACTTGATATTGAATACAAACCTTTACTTGGTTGCTTGCTAAAATTTTATATGTAGGCATGAACTTCAGCTTCAATTTCCCCCAGACTGAAGGTGGTCACATGAAACATTTTTGTATTCTAGTTGACTCAGAATTACTGTTGCTATGACCATTGTACCACAATGTACAGTGTTTTGGTGCATCCTGTGAAGCGTGTGTGAGTTTCAAGCGTTATGTTTAGAAAGAAGCATTTTATGAACGCAAGCATTTCTCATCTTTATACTGAAGATGAATGGTCTGGAGGAAGATAAAACTACTGTTTTGTTTTTCAGTTGGGAGCAAAGAGTAGACCAACACGGTCGAGTATACTACGTAGATCATGTTGAAAAAAGAACAACGTGGGATCGCCCAGAGCCTCTTCCTCCAAGGTGAGCCAGGAGAAGTCACAGGATACGTCTGGACTTTGCAGAAATTGATTGACAGTTTACTAAAGCTAGAAAGCGTGTTTGTAAAGAGAGATGTGAACCTAGTGTAAACAGTTGCTCCAGATTGTCTCCAAGGAGTACTGCAAAAATGCATAGTACAGAGTGTGGAGACAACTTAAAAGTCAGAACTAACAGAATCTGAATTTTCTGTCAAAGGTTAAGCAAGGGCATCTTTACTGAGAAATGGAATTAAGTTAAAGACAGTAGACACCCCCAACTGTAAAAGAGAACCAAAACCACAGGAAGTATTTTGGGGTTGAGGTAACTATCAGTTTGAGCAAGAATGCCCTTGGGTGCCTCTTTATCCTGAGGCTACTGTTTGCAGTCCTTTGAGCCTCTCCCAGGATTCCCAGATGCTAATTTACTGTAATCTTATAAAGCTTTGGTGATGATTTGGTAATTATATTTGGTTATTTGGCTTTTTGAGCTGTTGGCGTCAGAACAGCCAGGGATGTTAGTCTTGACATGGAAGCAGTGTTATTCTGATGCATTTCATCTATACTCAATGCCTGCCCCTTCCTTTTTCACCAAATAGAGTATACAACCCAAACTGTCAGAGGGTTTGCTGTCTATTAGGAGAAGCCAGCAGACCACAGTCATATGGGTTGGGCAAGATAAATGCAGTAATGACCGTATAGTGTTGACAATGGTTTGTGTAGCCCTTACACTATTTCCCAAAATCCTGAAAGTCCAGTAAACAGAATGAGTCTGCCTTGGGATAGTATGCAACAAAGCAAAAGTGGTTCCCCTCAAACAGTTTTAGCTCTTTCATAGTTTTAGTGGAGAAAAAAGGAAAAGAAGATGTCTGTTGATGAGCCCGTGCTTTATATGCACTTCCAACTTACTGCCTGCTGCCTAAAAGTGCTTCTGAGCCAATAAAATTGTCTGCTATTGAGAACCGTTGCTTGTAATTCTTTTAAAAGCTGGGAGCGACGAGTTGACAACATGGGGAGAATTTATTACGTTGACCACTTCACGAGAACAACAACGTGGCAGAGACCAACGTTAGAGTCTGTCCGGAATTACGAGCAGTGGCAGCTTCAGCGCAGTCAGCTTCAAGGAGCTATGCAGCAGTTTAACCAGAGGTTTATATACGGGGTAAGGAATATAATGGTGACTAGAAAGGTTGAGAGGGGCATCTTTTCAAATTTTCAACCCATTAGTCTCTCTTTTGCATATTGAAAGTGTATTTGGGGTTTGGGTGTGCTTGTGGGTGACTCTTCCCCATAAAGTCATCACGCTTTATTATGGTTTATTCTTTATGATACTGTAGTATCTTCGTGTGTGTGGCATAGCAGGAGGTAGTAACTGATAACCTTAGTTCATGTCCTCATGATGACTGCAGGCAGCACATACGGTGTAATGGTTTTTATTTGTCAGCTGAATATAGGTGGTGTTCTTTGATAAAGTTTATGTACAATATTGATAAAAGCCATTGGTTCAAAACAAACTACAGCTTAGTAATAAAGCTGGTTTATTTGCATTATGTCCTGAATTGGCTTGGCCAAAGACCTGGAAGGTAAGCAGGCTCACAGGACATGTACTTCTGTTTTGGATATAATCACAATAATAATAATAATAAGCACAGTGAATGTTAAGAAAGCAGAGAAACTGAAAGTAATCTTTCCAGAATCTTAAATCCATTGTTTACCTCTAATGAATAGCAGACTTGAGATAACTCCGGCTCATACTATTAGTTTATCAAGAATGGTGTATGTTCTAAATTTGGTGTATGTGTAGAGAATAAAAATGGACCTCATAAATGGTGGTAGGGAGGAGTGTACTGAGCGCAGAACTGAAGTGGGTTGCTTTCTGATTAAGTGCTACTGTACTAATTTCCCTCTGCGTAGGCAGGAGCACTAAACAAAGAATAATTATTTTCTTGGCGCTACAGTTAATGAAGCATGCCAAGGGCTGCAAATGGGCCTTCTCTGTGCAGAAAAATAAACTGTTGGCAGCTTACCTTATTTGTAACATTAACAAAAATGCGTTTGCTTCAATAATTCATGATGCCTATGGTAGAACATCTGGAAAGCAAATGACTAGTCATTAATGCACCATTTGTTTGTGTGACTTGCAGAACCAGGACTTTTCATCCACACAGAACAAAGAGTTTGATCCTCTTGGCCCTCTGCCACATGGATGGGGTAAGACTGACTTGCAAGTGTTTTGTAATGCAATGTAATTAAACAATAAAGCATATTTCTGCCAAATTAGTTTGTCAGCTGTTCTAGGCTCTTAAAATTAAATCTAATCAAATGTGCTGTTAAAACAGAGTCCTGACAAGGATGTGCAGTTTCAAAGTGGATTAGAAACCATAAAGTATTCTGGTTTACTCCCTTTCTCAAGGGAAATAATAGCTGCTTTCACACTGTCATCCTTTTTTTACCACTGTCATTAGGCAGGATTCCTGCTTCCCCCCCATTCCTTTCCTGCCAAATCAGGCTCCACATCCCCTCAAAATCAGACTGCCAAATACTCTCTCCAAGCCAATTCTTGGAGCCTTTTGTTTTGGTCTGAAAATGTAACTAATTTCTGGTGTGACTATCAAGAAGACAGAAGAATTCAAATTTCATGATACATAGGCAAAGTTCTCAGAGTTACATAATTTAAAGCAAGTAATTACTTGGCAGAGTTAGACCTTGGGGTTTGGCTCTGCTTTTCAAACAGAACTATTTCTATACTTGTGCTTTGCGATACGTATATAATATTTCAAAGAAAGTTCTTTAGTCTGCCCTTACCTAGAAAACAATAAAATTGAGTTTCCACATCGTGTTGAGTTCTGCTATCACTGTAACTTGTAGACAAGTGTCTACTTCCAGACTTCTCTTGTAAAATGAAGCATTTTACCTGTGGTGATCAGATTTTGGCCTGAAGATAGAGGCCGTGGCTGGGGCTGTTGATTGATTTTATGTATTTTATTTGATGTAGTCTCAGCAATACATTAAGCAGGTATTGATTTTTATTCTTCCCTCCCTGTTTTGCATCTTTTCAGAAAAGAGAACTGACAGCAATGGCAGGGTGTATTTTGTCAATCACAACACACGGATCACTCAGTGGGAAGATCCCAGGAGTCAGGGGTAAGACATGAGTTGCAGCTTCGTGTAAGTCTGGAATGAAAATGTAACAAAGTGGTATGAGACTGAGAGCTAGGAAATGCTGCCCACAGCTGAAGTATGGACTGTCCTACACACTGCAGGCAGCCCATTGAAATATTAAAAGGTACTAGCCAAAATGGAACTGTCAAAATATTATTTAGTAATGGCACAATAACCAGGGAAGTCTTGGTCATCAGCAGTAAGTTCATCCCCCAGAACAGCTCCTACTTACTCTGAAACACGTGTCTAAGCATTTGTATCATTGGGGGTGGGATTTCTCTTGTAGAACGATGGATGGGGTAGTGCAAAGGATCCTGAATAAGAAGTTGGTTATTTCCTAGTCAGTCAATAGGTAAGAGGCAGGAAGAAATAAAGCTTGAAAAACTGCAGCACGCCACCTCACACCTTTTAAAAAGGTGGGTGGGAAGACATAAAGAGAACTTGAGGCACTACTAAAAGTAATGGAGTACTGTTTATTTTGGGCTTTAGTCACCCTGAGTCTCTAGAGTAAAGTAGGTTATGAAATAAAGGTGAGGGATGTTCAATCCCAGCTCTTCCTGTTTGAGCTGAAAACTGCCATTTGGTGAAGCAACTTCATCTGTTCTTCATAGAGAAGGAGTGAGAGGGGGATGGGGGAGAGAAAGCCAAGTACGTGTGGAGGGCTAATAGCTGTAGCCAGAGGTGACAACTTTTACATCCCAGTTACCTCTGGGGCTGTGTGTGTGGAGAATAGTCTTAATACAACAAAACAGCTGTGTGTGCTGGCTTCACAGTTAGAAACCTGGTCCTACAATGTTCTGTAGAGGGAAGTCATTATGAGAGCACTTTGAAGTGATGCTGCTCAGGTCTTCCAAATATATTGAAATCTGGTTTTGTTTATACCAGAATTGACTTGAAAGTTGTTGAATAATTCTACAAGATCTGTATTTGTATTTTCATTTATTTTTGTCATTCTGAAACTTTTTTGGATGCTGTGATTACATGTGAGGTACCAAAAGCTGTCTAGTAAAATTAAGTCAGTTTTCAAGTAAAAACCTAATAGTTAGAAGACAAAATTATGTTGTTTAATGGAGGAAACATTGATAAACATTGCTGACATTTTTCTCTTAAGCTTCCCTTTGCCCTTACTCCATATAGTCCAGCCAAATGAGCTAATGTTTATCTGAACAGTCATTTTGGTCTAATTGAGAGCTGAAATGAAAAATTGAGAGAGGGGAAAAAAGGCAGAATAAATACTGAATGCAGAGTTTCTCAATCTGTAGTTTTTCTAGATCTGCCACAATTTTTACTGTCTCAGGTGTTGCTCTAATGACTTAATACATGAAGTTGATTAGTTACCATGTGTTTTCTTGTATCCGTAGTCAATTAAATGAGAAACCCTTACCAGAGGGCTGGGAAATGCGATTTACTGTGGATGGTATTCCGTATTTTGTGGATCACAATAGAAGAACCACTACATATATAGATCCCCGCACCGGCAAGTCTGCTCTGTAAGTGTTTTAACTTTCAAAGGCTTAGTGTCATGTAAAGTTCAGAACACATTATTTTTAAAAGGTTTTTCTCTCCTTTATTTATGCAGGAAGTTTTATGTGTAGTAAGACTTGTTAATTTTCTGGGTTTGTTTCATCCACTGATCACTGCCCCTGAAGAAGGCAGTGTCTTGAGCACTTGAGAATCCTTCTTGCCAAGTAGTATACAAGATTTGAGGGTCATGGAGGAGCTTCATCAGTACTGTTGATGACCATGTCCCTCCCTTCCAGTTACAAGCCTGTCTGTCTTTGATTTTTAGGAACCAGGATGGAGTTAAAACCAGAATTTAACTCCCAACTTTAATTAGCTGAGTGTTGTTCCATCCTTATTGTTAGATTCTTCTTTACAGTTAATAATCAGATACTATTTAAAAGTAGTGTTTATGCTCCACAATGTACAAAGGAAAACTTTTTTATAGTTTAACAACAAAAAAAAATCACACCTCAAAATCAAAAAATGTAAATAAGAGTCTTCCAACCAGTTAGTCAACTAAACCATACCACTGTATAACTAATACAGATGCAGGCATTTACTTACATTACAAAACCACTTGTGAAATTCATTTGTTTGTTCTCCTTTTGGTTCCAGAGACAATGGACCCCAGATAGCTTATGTGCGTGATTTCAAGGCAAAGGTCCATTATTTCAGATTCTGGTGTCAGGTACGGATTCATTTCTTGGGAATATTTGTTAGCAGTTTTGGGTTTTGCTTACATGCTTTAAATGAACTCCTTTGATACCTTGCAAGTAAAGGTAATGAAACTACTTTAAGGTTAAAAGTGAATTGAATTAGGAAGGAGAGTAAATACAGGATGTATATAAACTCATATAAAGTTTAAAGGTAGGTAAGCTAAGGCTTTGAAACTTTTAGAATAAAAAAGTAGCTTAACTGATGTTTTCTTTCAGAACATCGTGTCCTTTCTGTTGTTAATAAGGGAATACAGGGAGATGCAGAATTTTTATAGTTAATGCTACTTTCTGCACAAATATCTGGAAGAAAATGCAGGGCATTTGACTCAGAACATGCATGTCTAAACATTAGAGAATATGTGCTGTAACATCAGATTCCAGAGTGTCAGTCTTGATCCTCTAAACTCAATATATATCAAGAGATTAAGTAACCTGGTGTTGGGGAAAAAGTCTCAGGTTTGAATGTTCAATTTTCAAGAGTCAATGAATTATCCTTTGGAAAACAGCAGAAAGACTAGTCTAACTTTCCACTTTGAATGTGGTGCAGAGTAACCTAAATTTTCTCTCTTTTTTTTTTTTTTTTTTTTTTTTTTTATTCTTTATTAAGTTAGAATGTTACTGATCTTAGTGTTTTCTGCTGTGTTGTAAGAGTACAGTATTTGAACCTATTGTAAATAGGATCTGGAGACATGTATAACTCACTGTAGATATCAATAGTGGAAGCAATTTCTTCTTGGAATAAATCACAGCTCAAATATCTTGATTGCTGGGTTTGTTTTATGTGGATTAGTAAAATTCAACTGTACTTCATAAAGCAATATATACTACAATTATTAACTGCATTAATTATTAACTACTTCCTAAAGCAATATATACTACAATACAATTAGCTACAAATAACAGTCCAAACACAGTATTAGAAACTTTAAATGATTCTACACTTCACCTCTAAAAATTTTTATTTCAGCAACTGGCAATGCCACAGCACATAAAGATTACAGTGAGCAGAAAAACATTATTCGAGGACTCGTTTCAACAGGTATTGTACTAAAACTTGTTAGTAGTGGGCATGAGAAGTGGAGTTGATTAAATTTATTGTCTCATGTCACTCTTGATCCTTTACTATCTTGTTAATGTTATTTTAAGTGGAACTAACTACTAGATTAATGGTTAGGATACATTCATACTTCCATATTAAAAGATCATGCTAAAATGTGAAGTTTTGGCTCCAAAGACTGATTCATCTGACAGAGAAGGTGTTTATCTTTTTTCCCCTCAGAATTCTTTAAAACCTGACTTAATTTTGAGGGGAGTGCTGCAGCAGAGCAGCTCCCCAATCTCAGGAAGTTTTCATGTTGTGTTTACGTTTGTTGACATGTTTTTCCTAACAGTTTTGTTGTATTAGCATGGGCTATGTACCACAATGTATCAAGTTGATCTTAGTCTGGGTTTTACAGAGATCCTGGGTCTTTAAGTGAGTAATGAAATGGTTAAAAGGAACAAAAAAATACTAATTCTATTTAGCTTCTTAGTAGCAAAATTCTTGTTAATGTCTGTAGACCTAAACCATGGTTAAAATTTGTTCCTATACAGTATTTCCAGGTGCTTTTGAATTTTACTTTTACTTTTTGAATGTTTATTGCAGCAATAAATCTCTCTCATTGCTGGTTAAATTGAAGCCAAAAGCAGCTGTTTGTCAGTCTCATAAGATAGATGGAAACAGGCTTGGAAGTGCACGGAATGATTCCTCTTGGCAGATACTAATCTTGGCCACTTCTTTATTTTCCTGATTTAAAAGTAACCTAAGAAACTTAAAACGAATATGGCTAGGGACAGAGGAAGCTAAAAGTTCCTATCTTCTGAAGTTCTTCTTATCTCCCTATAGATCTTCAGGTTTGTTTTCTTGTAGGAATTATCACAGATGTGTCAAGCCAGGAAATCTGAAAAAAATAGAACAGTGTGTTTGGAGCCAAATACATTCTTACATAAGGATTGATGTTTTCTTGTTCAAATTACTGTAAACTGGCTTAGCAGAAGCAACAGGTAGTGCAGTTGGCTAGTCTTCTCATTTGGAACAGTGGTGCCTTCAAATAATAAGGGTTAGAAAGGGGCAAAATAAATCCTGTAACTGAAAATTAGCTCCAGTTTTATTTCTACATATGGGCTCGGTGTTTTTACAGTAATTGTAGAGGTAATAAAATTTATACTGTACTGGAAAGATTTACGAGAGATTATGTAATTCTATAAACATCAGCAAACCAAGATTTCCTTAGGAAAACAGGGTGCCTGATCCATAATTAGATGACAACATTGCAGAGACTTGTTAGTCATTCATCATTTGCAGGTATCTCTGTTAGGATTATAAAATTTTTGTGATTATTACTACATACATCTAGGAGAGATATTAAAATGCAAATCTTGACCCAAATTCTGTGCCTTTCATGGCAAACAAAACTTGAGGTTCTTGGACACAAAAAAGCATCATGTGAAGTTTCTTCATGTAAACCTCTGACAATTGACCAAATCAGCATCATTACAAATTTGGTCATAGTATTAAACCCAGGATGAGTAAAGTTCCTTGGACAGGCTGCTGGCCTAAGTACTCCAGGTCTTTAAAAACAGGATTATTATTTATTTTTCTTCTAAATATCTTTAATCTGTGAAAATAGGTTTGCACTGACACTTCAAATTGCATGAACATTCCGTAAGCATGTACTTCACACACTCGTAGGACATTTTTTGTTCTGAATTATTAAATGCTATATTACTTGATGGCAAATAGTAGTAAGTCTAGCCAGGGCTTACAGCTGTTCTCTTAAAAAGAATTGATTGTTTTTCTTTCACTAAGATAATGAGCTTCAGCCCTCAGGATCTACGGAGACGCTTATGGGTTATTTTCCCTGGTGAAGAAGGCTTGGATTATGGAGGTGTTGCGAGGTAAACTAACCTGAAATAGCAGGTTATACCTTTTTCTGCATTGTTGGTGTGAAGACTTCCCCAAAGTAGACACTTAAACTGCAGTGCTTTCAAAATATTAGTGACGTTTATTCCTTATCTTCCTTCAGAATATCTGAGGAAGACGGTTCTTTAAGATGTGTATGCATGTCTTTAAAACTGCATGGAATTATTTCCTGTTCATATTAGGAATTACTTTAATCACCTCAATGATTAGAGTTGCACAATCTACTGAATGACAGTAAGCCTTTGGCACAGCAGTTCATGTCAAAGTAGAGGCTTATTGAAAAAGTGAATGGAAACTTACTTTCAAGTCAAAAGTCTTTACAGGAATGTAACTGAGAAGTACGTATACTAATTGGCATTCCCTAAAACACTAAAGTTTAAATCAGTGGTAGGCTTTTAATATTCTCATTTAGATAAGGTGATTTTTTGTATCGAAACCACTGACAGTTGTATATCATTGTAACTTTGCATATTAAGTCATAATTTGTGTTAGTGTCAATTTGGTTTCAGTTTGGTCTAATGGACTTCCTGGTAAAGAGGTCGGACTGACTACCTCTGTGCCAACAAGTGCCTAAGGCGACCTGAGTTAGCTAAAGTAATTTCTAATTTAATTTATTTTGAAATGTGTTTTTGTTTGTGTGATTTCAGGGAATGGTTCTTTCTATTGTCACATGAAGTTTTGAACCCAATGTATTGCCTGTTTGAATATGCAGGGAAAGATAACTACTGCTTACAGATAAACCCAGCCTCTTACATTAATCCAGACCACCTGAAATACTTCCGATTTATTGGAAGATTCATTGCCATGGTAAGTTCAAAAGTAGAAAGGGGTTGTCTCCTATAATTTTTCTATAAACAAATCTTAGAATGGTTTGGGTTGAAAAGGACCTTAAGATCATCTAATTCCAGCCCCCTGCCACAGG